TCATCTCCGGCCAATTGCGTGGCCCCGCCCCCAACTAAGGGCGCACCTCAGCTCTCCAGGTGGCCCCACTCCCGCTATGCACCTGCCCACGGGGGAAGCTATGGGCAGCACAGAGAGGCCGAGGGGCTTCTTCCTCTGAGGGTACACAGCAGGACAAGGACAGAGAGGAAAATGGAAGCCTGGGCTGCCCAGAGCCTCTGTCCCCTTGACTTGTGACCTCTGCCCCCCCCCCCGGCCCCTGTGGCAGCATCTTGTGTCCCCTGGGCCCCCAGTCAGCACAGGGCACCCTCAGCGCTCCCCTGTAGCTCCAGGGACCTACTGGGCCCAGGCCCCAGCCGGTCACCAGTTCCCCAGGTCCTGCCTGCAGCCCCAGGGTCCTCAGACCAGGTCTGGGGGTGGGGCTGGCAGTGTGGGTGCGATTGGGGGGGGGGGTTGCCCGAGCTCCTGGAGGGCTCAGCCTGAGCTCTGCGGCCACCGGAGGGAACCGGTCTGCGGGGCGGTTAGGCAGAACAGGCCTCTCAGGGCAACTACTGGATGCCCACCTGGCTCCAGAGCCACCCTACAGCCTCCCTGGCCTTAGCCCTCCTCAAGGGAAAGCAGCTGTGCTTTTGGCCCAGGCCAGCCCAGCCCAGCCCAGCTGCCTGCCTGGGGAGGAGGCAGGGGCTGTCGCCCTCTGCTGGCCAGGTCCTGTTACTGCGGAAGGTAGGAGACACCCTGCCACCCAGCCCCTGCCCACTGGAAGCCAGCCCCACACATCATCCCCATGTCCCAGGTCAGAACCAGGCCGCGGAGGGGCTCCCCTCAGCCGGGATGGAGCAGAGCTGGACTGGGATGTGTGTGGTCCCCATGTTCCCAGGAGGCTCCGGGGCCCTGCTTGAACCGGAATAGATTGCAGCGGACAGCTATAGAATTAGTAGTAGCTGCTGTCACCACTAGAGGCACACGCTGACCATAAGAGGGTTCCTTCTGCACTCACCAGTGGCCTGAGCATGAGAAGGAGGGAATGGCAAGGCTAGCAGAAAGACCGTTTGTGCCTAAACCATGTTCGGATTCAATTCCTACCAGGGAAAGTTTTCTCCTTATCCAGCTTAAAGGAGGGCTCAGTCTGGGGCTTAGACTCCAAGAATCCCACCACCCAGCCTCACAGGCACAGCAGGTCAATGAGTTTGGGGTCATGAGTTGACTTGACAGTAATTTCAACTCTTTTTGCATCCTAAACATAGATAAGCCTAATCGGCCTGGCTCCGTGGTTGAGTCTCGACTCAGGAACCAGGAGGTCGTGACTTCATTCCTATCAGGGCATATGCTGGGGTTGCAGGCACCATGGGCTCTACCTTGTTCTCTAAAACAGACCCTTCTCATACCTTCAGGCCCTTGTGTGCCAGTGAAACGCCCCAGACACTTCTAGCCCACAGTAACCTGTAATTTCCTCCCACCTCTATGCTCTGAGTACCAAAACCCTTAACTAGATCATATCTAACATGTTTTGGTGTACATGTGTGTGCGTGCTCCTCCTGGACACTTGTCAACACTTGAAGGTCAATTACTTGACTTCCAACTGCCCATACAATGTTCAAAAGCTGCATAAATGTTTATAGAATAAGATAGATTGTGGCATGAGAAGGAGCAATATTTAGTTAACTTGATTTTCTCTAAAATTATGCCACCAATATGCCCTGGAATGAACACCTTCCCGCCCCCTTTTGTCTAGTTCCCATTACAATAAAAGAGCCTGACCTGGCCAACATGGCTCAGTGGTTGAGCGTCAACCTATGAACCAGGTCACAGGTTACAGGTGATCCCCACTATGGGACGTGCAGGAGGCAGCCAATCAATGATTCTCTCTCATCATTGATATTTCTCTCTCCCTCTTTGAAGTCAATAAAAATATATTTTAAAACAAGCTTAAGCACAACAGGAAAACAGAGGTGAGGGAAGCAGTCTTTATGTTTTTCTAAGACTGACAACCTAAGGCAGTGTTTTTTTCAACTGATGTGCTGCAAGAATTTTTAAAACATGCCCTGGCTGGTGTGGTACGGTGGTTAGAGCACCAAGGAAGGGTCATGGGTTGATTCCCAGTCAAGGGCATGTCCCAAGGTTGCAGGTTCCCAGGCCCCAATAGGAGCCCATTAGGGAAGGCACCAATTGATGTCTCTCTCATCGATGTCTCTCTCTCTCCTCACCCCACCTCCCCCTTCCATTCTCTTAAAAAAAAAAAATCAACGGAAAAATATCCTTTGAAGATTAACAACAAAGAAAAAAGCATTTTTAAAACATGTAGTCAGGGCACTGACCTCTTTTCCCTTAGATTGTCAAAGAAAACTACAACAGCCAACACAATAGACTCCCAGTGTGAATGACCTGTCTTGAACTATAGGCCTTACAATAAGAGTTGCATCGTATTGGACATATCAAATAAGGCTGTGTCTGATTGGTTAGTTCTTGGTACCATAAACCCTGCTTATACACAAGCAAGTATAAGCACCTGATTTTTTAGTCACTTTGGAGCAAAAAGGGTAAGTAAATAATACATTTTTGTGTGTAAATCAATCAAAATTATACCTAATTTTTGTCAGATCAGCAAAAAAAGCAGAGTATGTTTTTGATATGTCACAGGATTTTAGTAATTAACTTATGTGGGTCAGGAGATGAAAAGGTTGAAAGTTGCTGCTGTAGGGCCATGTCCAGGTAAAGGGGGGGGGGGGGGAGATCCTAGGACCAGCCAATCTCAAGCTGGCTTTTCCCAATGTCCCTCTTCTTTCCTCTGAAACCTGAGATTTTGAGCTGTGGATTCCCAATTCCCTCAGTTAAAGTGGGTTGCAAACAAGGCAACAGACCTACAGTAACTCCCTTCAGAATCATTCACAGCTCTTCCTTGTCAAGTTTAAATTAAGATGAAGGGGGCCCTAACTGGTCTGGCTCAGTGGATTGAACGTTGGCCTGTGAACTGAAGAGTCCCGGATGCAATCCTGGTCAAGGGCACATGCCTGGGTTGTGGGTTCAATCCCCAGTAGGGTGTGTGCAGGAGGCAGCCAATCAATGATTCATCAACAGACCTACAGTAACACCCTTCAGATTCATTCACAGCTTTTCCTTGTCAAGTTTAAATTAAGATGAAGGGGGCCCTAACTGGTTTCTCTCTTTCCTCCCTTTCTCTCTGAAATCAATAAAAATATATTTAAAAGAAAAAGGTGAAGGGGTGGCTGGAAGGGTTCAATGAAACCATTTCTCTCATCCTGAGTTAGACTGAGGCTGGAAAGGATGCATTTGTTCAAGGCAACATGAATAGAACTTGAGCTTGCCTGGAGGACTCAAGTTTTGAGCAAATTGTATTCAAAGAAGAAACAACAGATCTAAATAAGTTTGAAGTTTAATACATCAAAACCAGATAGTTATCACTTATATTGCATTTGCCATTTCTGAACAATACAAAGTAGAGGCAAATAGTGACACTTCATAAAAATGTTCATTCCCATTCCCTTCCCTACGACCCAGCCTCCCTTGAATACTCCCTCCCACCCTCTACAGAACTTTGTCCTGAATAAAACACTTAAATACATCATAAATAGTAAATTATGGGGGGGGGGGGGGAAAGACAGGAAGAATTCTTTCTTTCCTTCTTATAAAAAAGAACATGGCAGCAAAGACAGGCAGCCAGACCTGGCTGAGGGTGTCTAATATAGACAGTTATTCGGGCTGTCGGCTAACCTACTATCAAGGTGGGGTGGGATGAAGAGGATAGTCTGGGAATTCAACAATCTGCCTGAGATGCCAGGCCCCTTCTCCTCACAGGGAGTGGGAGGATCAGATGGAGAACTGCAACTCTTGGAGATGGGGAGGAGGGATTATACAGCCCCCCACTCCCAACTTTTCTGCATGAAGAGAGGGGCAGGCCACGTGGCACAGCAGTGGCCTCACCGAGGCAAGAATCTGCTGGCTCCCATGAGTTTAAGAGATATTCTCTAGTTTCATAGATCTGGGCTGCCTGTCAAACAGACACAAGTGAGCCTCTCTCCACCTCAGCCCCACAAACAGCATAACACTGTTAGAGAAGGTGGGAAGAATAAGGAAGAAATCTCCTTTGGAGAAGAATCTAAAATTCATTTGATGTCTTCATATTTAGAAAAAACCACCAGAATACATTTCAAATTACAAAACAGCAATAATCATTATGGCCTGGCAGTGAGTAGGATCACGCCTAAGAGGAGCCCTGATCTCCTGGCCCATGACTGCCCCACTGTTTTAACAAAGGGGTAAAGATTACCCCAGGTCCCACTCTCTCCATTCCTTTAGCCTTAAGAAATCCATCGAGAGAGGAGGAGTTAAAGAGGATCTGCTCCAGGCAGAGCAATCACCACCTTCTGTTTCTCAAACACCACGGCTCTCCAGAGGGAACCCTATGGATGGGCATCTCTCCACTTTTGGAGTTTTGATCTGAACTGTCTGGCTAGAAATTGTGTGCTGTGCGTTATTTTTTCTTTCCCTTTTTAAGGAAAAAAAAAAAAGAAGGTTGGAAGGTGGTTAAACATCCTCACTCTCCCAAAAACCTTTTACAGGGGTCTCCTTACGGAGAGAAAGAGCTATGATAAGGATAATGTGCCAGCCAGTCTGTCCTGAGGAAATTGAGAGTCCAGCTCCTGGTGAAAGGTAGATGAGGGGCAGAAAACCACCAAGTCCAGCAACCCCACTTGCAGCAGGAAGAATGGATCTTTCAAAACAGTTCAATTGTAGAATCCAAAGTTGGCCAGCTAAAAACTTGTGCTCCCATTCCCAACTCGGGAGTGGAGAGGAAGCTGGTTCCTCAATTGTCCAAGGCAATAATGCCCCTTCATGAGGAAGGGGAAGGAGTAGTTCTTCAGAAAGGAGCTGGAGAGCTACCCTGGCCTCCATTATACTCCTTTTTTGATGCCCAAGAAGAAACTCAGCATTACTGGGGCAATGGCTGACATCTTGAGATCACAGAGACAGAATCTTGTTCCACGTCTTCTGGGGCTTTCTGCTCACTGAAAGAGAAAGAATGTCAAATTAAGAATGAGGAGTATGAAATAAGGAGGAAGGAAAGGAACTCAAGTTAAGTTCAACCTGCCTGGCAAAGTTAATAAGTTTTCTTCTATTTCAGCCTCCATTTCCAAGTACAGGGTACCAAAATCAAAATTTTTAAAAGCAAGGTTTAGGGGGCACCCAGTCCTTCTAACTTCGCCAATTAACACCTTGCTCCACACTCCATCAGCACATCCTCTTTATACCCTTCAAAGCATTCACCTCCCCCAAATCCCACACACTCACATGGGCGAACTCTGACTCTTCAATTTCAAGCTTTTCCAAGAGGGTTGCACTAATAGGAGGGGGGAAAACAGAGATAGAGAAAGAAGAATTATAAGATAAAAAATAAAAAGAACTGTCCTCGCAAGCCTATTCTCCATAATGTACTTCACAATCAATTCAGGATTCAGAAAGAAGGGGCTAAAAAGCTATTAAATTTAGAAACATTTAGTTTCTGGAAACTATAAAATATTTCCTAATACCCTCTTCTTCTGTCTTCAATCCCCAAGTATGGTAGGCACCGAAAGATCACTGCCATTGTGTAACTCTCTTCTCTTGAGTGTGGGCTGGATTTGATGAATTTCTCCTAGTGAACAGAATCTAGCACAGGTTATAGGATGTCAATTCGGAACTTAGGTTGCAAAAAATCTATTGCTTCCTTTTAGGTACATGCTCTCTGACTTGTTTGCTCTGAGGAAAACCAGTTGCCAGGCTGTGAGCTGTCCTACAAAGAGGACCATGTGATAACATACTGAATCCTGCAAACAACTACGTAAGCTTGGAAACTGATCTTCCCGAGTAAACCTTCAGATAAGACCACTGCCCTGGCTAACAGCTTGACTATAACATCCTGAGAGACCTTAAGCCAGACACCCAGCCAAGCCACACCTAGATTCTTAAGCTACATAAGATATGAGACCATAGCCGAAATGGGTTTGGCTCAGTGGATAGAGCATTGGCCTGCGGACTGAAAGGTCCCAGGTTCGATTCCCGTCAAGGGCATGTACCTTGGTTGTGGGCACATCCCCAGTAGGGGGTGTGCAGGAGGCAGCTGATTGATGTTTCTCTCTCATCGATGTTTCTAGCTTTCTATTCCTCTCTCTTCCTTTCTGTAAAAAATCAATAAAATGTTTAAAAATATATATATATATATATATGAGACAATAAATGTTTGTTGTTTTTAGCTGCTAAGTTTTGGGGTAATTTGTCATACAACAATCAATAAAAAAACACCTAGAAACGAAGTGCTGCTGTAAGAAAAATCTAAAATGTGGAAGTGGCTTTGGAACATTTTAGTGAAAGTTTAAAAGTGCCCCAAATATAGTATTGAATTTTGGACTTTAACTGGGTTGCCAGTGACAGCTGAAAGTGAAGAAAAATACTCGTATTAGAAAATGAAAGAAAGGGAATCCTTATAATATAGTGAAACTAAGTTTAGCAACAAAGTCATCTGCAGTTATATGGAAAGTAGAATATGTGCCTAATACTAGATAATCTTGTTATGGAGATTTCTAAAGCGTAGTGCTACCTGATTTTTACTTTTTTTTTTTTTTTTTTTTGTTAATCACTCGCGGAATTTTTCCATTGCTTTTTAGAATCAGTGAAAGGGAGGGAGGGAAAGAGGGAGACATGGATTGGAGACACAAGCCTTGAGCCGCAACTGGGGCAAGGGAACAAACCTGCAACCCAGGTACATGCTTTTGACCAGGAATCAAACCCAAGACCCTTCCATGTGCGGGCTGACGCTCTAACCACTGAAAAATACTGGCCAGGGCCTGATTTCTTCTCAATGCTTATAGTAAAATCTGAGAGAATAATAATAAATTAAGGGAAGGATTATTAAAAAGAAGCCAGGACTTGACGATCATTTTGCAAAGTCTGAGCCTCTCTAGATAGCAAACACTACTAAAATTAAAAGGCGTCTACAGTGGTTAGAGTGTCAGCCTGTGCATGGAAGGGTTACAGGTTCAATCCTCAGCCCCTGATCACTTGGGGAGCATGGAGCAGGCAACCAACTAATCCGTGTCTCTCTCTCTCTCTCTCTCCCCACCCCCCCACTTTTCCCTTTCTCCCTTCTACTGTCTTTAACAATCAATGAAAAAAATATCCTCTGGTGAAGATTTTTAAAAAAAGAAATGGTTTCAGAGTAAAGCTAAAATCCAAGGCAATATCAGGGAAAAGTGGTATAAAGTTGAAGCCACGGGTATGGACTAATAAAATAATTTTTAAAATTTATTTTTAATCCTCACCCAGTGATATGTTTTTATTGATTTCGGAGGGAGAGGGAGGGAGAGGAAAGGAGAGGGAGAGAAATAATGAAAAACATTGATGTGAAAAACAATGACTGGTTGCCTCCAATACAGGCCCCAACCAGGTATGTGCCCTGGCCAGAAATCGAACCTGTGACCCCTGCAGTGCACCGGATGCTCCAACCAACTGAACCACAGTGGGCAGGGCTGTAAAATGTGTTTTTTTTTTTTATAAACATCATTTTTTAAATATATATTTCATTGATTTTTTTACAGAGAGGAAGAGGAAGGAGAGGGATAGAGTTAGAAACATCAATAAGAGAAACGTCGATCAGCTGCCTACTGGGGATGTGTCCGCAACCAAGGTATATGCCCTTGACCGGAACCGAACCTGAGACACTCTATCCATTGAATCAAACCGGTTTCGGTTGTAAAATGTTTTTATAAGGCCACAGAAAAATCAAAGTTGATGCTTCAGAGCACTATTCAGTCACAAAAAGCCATTCATCAAAACATTCAAAAAGATTAAGGGTATACCTTACAGATCCTCTCAACAGGAAGCAATGGGGTTATCTCAGTTCACTTATATGTAGCCTGGCTGGTGTGCCTCAGTGGTTGAGTGTTGACTTATGAACCAGGAGGTCATGGTTCAATTCCCAGTCAGGGCACATACCCAGGTTGTGGGCTAGATCCCCAGTATGGGACGTGCAGGAGGCAGCTGATCAATGATTCTTTTCTCTTCGTCACTGATGTTTCTCTCTCTCCCCACTCCTTCCTCTCTGAAATAAATATATATATATATATATATATATATATATATATATATATATATATATATGAGGTTTTTGTCTAATGGAGTAAACCCAAATGATATTCACAGGAAGCCCACATAATCTTTGAGAGAATTATCAGTGAAAACATCACCAGCTGAGACTAAAAACAACAAAAGCAATGCAAAATGAAAAAGGACCACTGGATCCCCCAAAATCTACTGGCAAGGAGGCTGAGAAAACTACTCAGCTGCAAATACATTCTAGTGTTTAGGAACACCCAGAAGGCAAAACTAAGAGTCCAAAAGATAGAGCCAAAAAATCATGGAGAATTATTCCCAAGCTTTGAGACCTGATAAAGAAACTGAAGTATTTGCTGTATTTTAGGTAGCTATGGGTCAGTGATTCCTCTGTGCCTCAAATTCTCAATCTTTTTGTACAGGAATGTGTATATGGGTCATCTAACGTCTGTCGCCACTGTACACCAGGTGGTTGGTGAGACAATAGCTTGTCTCTTAAATTCACAGAGGATCAGCACTCAAGGAGCAATACCTGGGAAGCTCATTCAAACATGGAGTGAATTTAGGTAACAAAATTCTGGACTCTGAGCCGATGCTATAATGGGATGAAACTTTTGGAATGAATTTTGCACTGGAGGAATATGAGTCACTAGAGATCAGAGGGTGGACTATAATAGGTGACTCTTAAGATGGCTCCCAATGAGACCTGCCTTCCTGGTATTCACGCCCTTGTGTTATTCTTTCCTTGAGAGTACATGTCAGATTTAGTGAACAGAATAGAGTGCAGGTAGGAGGATGTCAATTCTGAGATTAGATGACAGAAAGAATATGGCATCTGCTTAGGTGCATGCACTCTGAGGGAAGCCAGATATCTGAGTTGTCTTATGGAGAAGCCCATGTGTCAAGAACTGAGGGAGGCCCTAGCCAACAGCCAACAAGGAACTAAGGCTCTCAGTCCAGCAACCCACAATGAACTGAATCTTACCCCAAACCATATAAATAAACTTAGAAGGGAGCCTTCAGAAGAGACCCTAGCCCTAGCCAACAACTAGACCACCACCTCATGAAAGACCTTTAGCCAGAGGACACAGCTAAGCTGCACCTAAATTCCAGACCTCCAGAAAATATTATTTTTTTTTAAGCCACTAAGTTTTGGGAAAACTTATTATGTTGTAACAGATAATTAACACACCAGGTAACAAAACAGAATGACAATCTTTACACTGGGTTATTAAAGATTGTCCACTGTCTTCACTGTCCAGGAATCTCTCCAACCTTATATCCAACTCGGAGAACTCATTATCTCACCAGGAGATACAGGGCTCGCTGGGGTATTCTTACTGATTATCAGAAAAGCCCGAACACAGATACAGAGATGTTGGCACACGTTTCCAAATCCTAACAATGAACACTAAGGAAGGTAAATCTGAAAAAACCTAGTGAAGAGCAAAAGACGATGTCTGTAAAAAACAATTATGGAAGTTTCCAAGGACCTGAAGAAAGAGATAAGAAGATTACAGAGAAAGGGGCCAAGGAACCAACCTTGTAGATAACATTGGCAAAGTCTCTCCAACTACAGGTGAAAAGCAGGGGTCAGGAATAGTGGAGACCTCACTGATTTTCTCCAAAGGTGGAGTCTGAGGTAAAACATCAGGACGACCGAAGTGGACGCCTGGAAAAAAGAAAGGGGAAGAAAATCAATAAATAAAAAAGAAGAAGAAATGGGGTGGGGAAAATTCAGGGAAATTTATGTAGCAACTTGGCTTTTCCTAAACAGGAATAGGAAGCAAAGGTCCTAAGCAAAAAGGACTCGGAAGAAAGGGAAGGAGTGCCCAATCACATGGGAACCCCAGCCCTGGCGCTGACCTGGCTCCACTTCCGCCTTTGTTGTCACTTGTGCCTTGTGTTCCCCAGAGACCGATGGCTGGTAAGTAACGCAGGAGTTGCCGCTGGGGGCTCCTCGCCGAGAGAAAGATGAGCCAGACCGAAACTTTTTGGAAGGAGAGGGCTTCACTTCAAAAGGGAAAGAGAGAGCCTACTTAGCACCCCCCTCAGAAACCATCACCAAGACATAGGCACAAACTGCTAGCATCCCCAGCACACACAAAGTTGTTTTTCTGCAAAGCAGGAAGAAGGGTTAATATCAACAAAGATGGGCTCTATGAACTACTTTTTAGAGGAAGGGGCACCTTAGTTCACTTCACTTTGGAAACAAGAGGGGAACCTAGAAAAAGAAGACACATACATCTCTCACCCCTCCTACAAGTGACCTCAATGGCTTAGCTTTCACCCGATGAGATGTTCTTTACTCCAGCGGTCGCCAACTGGTGATCCGTGAGGTCCGAAAGGTTGGTGACCACTACTCTATTCTGTAACACCATTCTTTAATAGTATCCTTCAGTTAAAGCTGACAAAGATGACCCTTCACTCTATATCCTTGAAGTACTTATGCACACGGAACTATGATGACACTTTATGCTTGGTTATACATCCCTTTGAAAAGACTGAAAAAGGATTTTCCCGTATTTCTGAAGACTGGCAGACTAGGTCCTCTGACTCACTGAGGGATGCCTGTGATGAGGAGATAGGAAGGAGGAGCTGGAATTTACCAGTAGCAGCAACATGAAAGGTTTGGAAAGAACATTGGTACTTCCCTATCAAAAAAGTTGAGGGAAGAAAGTAAAAACACCCATTAAGCGACATCAGTAAATGCTTCTGCAACCATTTGAATTCAATCTGAGAACTCCGTGGCATTGGATTTATAAACGGAAAACATAACATTGGTAATATCCTTGCCTAACTACCATAGAAGTCTGACTCTGCCTAGCTCAGCCTGTGACATGGACCCTATACCCACACTACGTATTTTTTGAAATCCCACCAATTTCCAAAAAAATGCCCCTCACCTCAATGACACATGTAGGGAGAGCCAGGGGGAAAGCAGCGAGCAACTTGGAAACGACTGGAACAGACAGAGTGACTGACACAAAGACAGGCAGCAGCTATCATGGAATGTGAGTAGAGCAGGAGAGGCCTCTGGCTTTGTGTCCCTGACAGAAGTGTCCTGCCCCTTATCTCTTGAAGGAGGCCATTGGGGGTTCATCTGGTAGAAGCCACTTACAGGGGATCTTCTTGAACACTGTGTTGCACATGAAGCGCTGGAACCGTTCAGCGTAGAAGCCTGGGCGATGCACCGATACGGTGTCCTGCAGAGCAGAAGAGATGGCTGCAGAGTTAAGAGACGGAGGAGGTCCAGAAAAGGAACCTCTAGTCCAAGGGCCACTTTCCCTAGGCTCAGACCCTAGTAGAAGGGTAAAACCCACAAATAAAATGAGGGATTAAGAAACTGTGAGGGGGTGAATCTGAAGTGAGGGAAGCAGGAGAACCTCTAGCTAATTGCTACTCACCCCATCATGTACCAGTGCTTTCCAAGAGTGCTCCAACTTCTTAACAAACCTGCCAAAGAAAATGTGTATTACATATGCATGACCTTATACTTTTTTATTTTAGGGAGTTCAAGTGAATGGTAATAGAAAAACTTAGAGGCAGAAGCTGGGAAAGCACTCCCACTAATATACTGGCTTTCCAAAAAATAGGCACAGTACTTATTCAGTATGGAGCAAAGATGTTTCTAGGTGGGTCAATTATCCTAAGAGAAAGGGTAGCTATTATGTCTCTGGCAAGTCAGGGACAAGAATATTTATTGTAAAAGAACAGCTAGAAGAATAAATGGGCAAGCCTCTAAAGGAGTTAAAATTGGATAATATTCTGAATCTGTAAACCAAGCACTTACTAGTACCTGAAACCTTACAGGAGCAAAATTGAGGTCTCATATAGGGTGTCCCAAAAAAAGAATGTACATGGGAACAGCTGATAAATCAATTTTTAAAATGAAATATATTTTAATGAACACTGCCTTTGTAATTCAAAATATTTGTATTTATTTATTTATTTTGGACACACTGTATTTCTAGCATTTCCCTCTCCATCACTTCACTGCCACTTAGTTCCACAGGCCAATTCATAGTTTCCAAAGAACACAGTGACCCTCTTGCTATTCCTCCATGGAAAGGGGGAACGTGTTCCTGCTGGAACCCAATGTGGAATATGACTCACCTCACAGGTTTTTCACAGTCAGACAAATGGTCTATTTTACCTTGGTGCTGCCCAGAACTGACTCAGCTTTCCAGAGGTGCATGTTATATTGGGGTAAAGAAGCCAAAAAGACAGGCAAAAATCAAGAAAATAAATCACTACTTGACACCCAATGAGATAAACAGCCAGATTATAACTCGCTGCTCTTGTATCAGGAAGAATTTGGTGAAAAACCCATCTTCAAAAGAAATGGGTTATCTGCATCCACTTTGCCCCCTAATTTGGAATTCTTATGTTTCTCACCTGTAAGACTGCAGAATGTCAATGATCCCGATATAAAGCAGCAGCCTTTCCCCTTTACTATTCCGGGCAGGGATGCCACCCATACTGAGAAAGACAAAAGGGAAAGAAAGCAAACCTTTGGCTAGCAGGTAACATAACTGTCCCATCTTCCACAAACTGGGAAAGAGTAAGAGACTTCCTCTGACCCGCCCACTCTGAAGTATGTATTATAACCTCATCCTCTCCAAATCTCACTCGCTAGCCTGCGTCTCCCACCCCTATTCCAACAAAGAGAATCTAAAATCACCTACAATTTTGGAAATATTTACCCAATTAACTCTAAACTCCTTCCATCAGTACTTACATAGTAACTAGTAAATCTATGCCCACCAAGACACTCTTCTTAAATGATATAAAAGGATACCTCAAAACTGAAACCAACTAAAAAACATCTCTGGTCCCTTCAGTAACTACACATCCTTGATAAATTATGGTAAGAAGATGTAAATAAGTCTAATAAATTCCTCTTGATACATTATGGTAAGAAGATGTAAATAAGTCTGTAATAAATTCCAATATCATTTGCAGATATGTCTAAGACTCTGAATGAACTTTTTAAAAAGTCTTCTAATTTTGAATAGCTTTCCTTCCCAAGTGTACTACAAATCCCAAATTCAAGATATCATCCTTTCTTTATAGATTCTTAAGAAAGCTCATTCTAGGCCCTGGTTAGGTAGCACAGTTGGTTAAAGAATCATCCCATATATCAGGGTTTGATCCCTGGTAGGGCACATATAAGAATCAAACAATGAATACATGAATAAGTGGAACAACCAATTGATTTCCTTCTCTTCTTTCTTTAAAAATCAATAAATTTAAAAAATATATATTTTTATTGATTTTTAGAGAAGAAGGGAAGAGGGAAGGTGGGAGGGAAGGGGAGAGGGAAACAGAGAGAGAGAGAAACCCTGATTTGGCTGCCTCTTGCATACCTCCTACAGTGGATGAAGATTGCAACCGGGCAAATGCCCTGATCAGGAGTCAAAACAGCAACCACTTGGTGTATAGGACAACACCCAACCAAATGAGCCAAACGGCCAGGGCTAAAATCAATAAATTAATAATTTAAAAAAAAAAAAAAAAAAAGCCGTGGCTGATTTGGCTCAGTGAATAGAGCAACGGCCTGCGGACTGGAGGGTCCAGGTTCAATTCTCAGTCAAGGGCACATGCCTGGTTTGCAGGCTGAATCCACAGTTGGGGGCGTGCAGTGATTCTCTACCATCGATGTTTCTCTCTCTATCCCCCTCTCCAAAATCAATAAAAATATATCTTACGAAATTTAAAACAGAAAGCTCATTCTGTAGTCTGTAAACATTAACATTGTTGGCTTAACTGCTGAATCAAGGCTATTCCTTTGCAGAAGCTGCACCCCTTCCTGAAGAAGAAATGCTATTAGCCTATGCTCTCCTTTTTTAAAATATATTTTATTGATTTTTTACAGAGAAAAAGGGAGAGGAATAGAGAGCTAGAAACATGGATGAGAGAAACATTGACCAGCTGCCTCCTTCACACACCCCACCGGGAATGTGCCAGCAACCAAGGTACATGCCCTTGACCGGAATCGAACCTGAGACCCTTCAGTCCGCAGGCCGATAATGCTCTATCCACTGAGCCAAAGAGGTTTTGGCTATGCTCTCCTTCTTGATGACCCTGAGCCCACCACTCACTGGTCTTCAGTCTCCACAGTGCCGCCTCTCCGAGCCTCGCCCTGGATAGATTCCATGGCTGTGGAATAGAGCGCCTTTTGGGGAGCTGGTTTGCGTGTATCAATTGAGTATAGTGTGTCATGGCCTGAGGGTTCTCGTTGTGCGTGATCTATGTTATGAATTGACATCAGGAGACTATAGTCCATTATCTTGAAACTCTGCAGCACCTAAAGGAAGGAAATAACACGATCTGAGCTTTGGGTGGCATGAGAGGTTTTTTCAGGATCTCGCAGCTTTTCTGGTCCAATTATTCTTGATAGTGAACCTCTAGGGCTAACCATAGTGTTATCCTTATCTTCTCGTTATTGGAGAAAAACATCCTCTTGATATCTCTTCATTTGTATCCCTCAGCTTTCTTTCATTTGAGTAAACACAAAATAGGCACTGCCTAGCTCACAAGACACTTTTCTTTCCTTTTTTTCTCTTCACACAAACATCGTTATATTCGCAAGGGAATAAGAAATACATGTTTTTGCTTTAAAGAATCCACAAGGAGGATCTGGTAAAAGTTTTACTTTGTGAAAGAGCAGATCTGTTGCAGGACTTAATACAATCAGCTTCAATTCAGTTATACCTACCATCTGTAGGCACTGTGCTTGCTTATGGGGAATAGAAAGATACTGAAGAGAATTTCTGTCCTCTAGAGTATTATAATTTAGGAAGAGAAACAAAAGTGAAAATAAATACAACATGGCCTAATGTGTACAATGGAAGTGCTTATCTGATTGAGGATCAGTCTACAGGTCAGGAAGTAATACACACATAGGGTTATGAAAGATAAATTACAGAGAAAATAAGTCTAAGTACATAAAGGAAATACTGCGAGGCATGAAACAGCATGTCTTGCAAAGGGAGGTATAATTTGATATTTCTAAAACATAAAATACAAAGGCTAAGTGAGGCAGATTAGAGAGGCTGGCAGGGGTAAGACAATGACATGTCTGATATGTCACATTAAGGAGCTTGGATTATATCCTATAGTTTTCATCCCTCGCTCCCCACCCAGAACAAGGTGGAAAAGGATTTATTCCCACCTGGCCAGGAGCTCACTTTGGTGCTGTACCTCAACCACTTAGGTACGTGAATGCAGTAAGGGATAAAGAGAACAGGACTGACTCTTATGTATAGTTTGAGAAAAAACACACACATTTGTTTCACTGTTTCTAGTCCTTACAACCAAAAGAGTCAAACTAAAATAGGAATTATCCTGAAATAGATGCAGAATAAGCAAAGCCAGTTCGAGAAAAAAACTACCATAGATGTAGAAAAATCAATAGGGAAAGATGTCACCAAAATCAAAAGAAAATATGTAAAAAGTGGAAATAGTTAACTGTCAAATGCTTCAGAAAATTCAACAAAGGACTGAGAAGTCCTTTCTAGTTGGCATTTCTGTAGTCAATGGGAAGAATTGTTCAACTGGAGTGATGAGAACAAAAGCCAGGACAACAGTGAGTTGAGGGGTGGGTATAGAAAGAAAATAGTCAGTAGAAGCTGAAGCCAGAGGTGGAAAAGGAAGCAAGTTATAAAACATGATCTTAAATAGGAGGAAATGGATCTAGAAGACAAAAGGGGTTGACCTGGAATAAGCCACCAAGTTGGTTAAGAAAGGAGATTAAGGATAGTTTATAAATTAGTGATGGGGCAGGACAAAGGGATGAAATGGAATAGAAAGTTGAGGTGGTTTGTTGAGAAGTAAGGCTGGGAAATGGAAGTTAAAAAGCGGTTCGACAAAATAAACATACAACGAAACAAAAACAATCATAGCTACAGCATGATGGTTACCAGCTGGAAAGGAGGTTGGGGTGGAGAGCAAAGAAGGGAAAAGGGATCAGATACACGGTGACAGCAGACGACTAGATTTCAGGTGGTAAGCACATAATAGACTGTATAGATGTCATATTATAAAGTTAAACATCTGAAATTTATATACTATTAACTGTTACTCCAATAAGTTTAATTCTAATTCATTTTAAACTACACAAAAAAAAAGTGATTTAGTCGTGATGTGGCTCAGTGGTTGAGCATCGACCTATGAACCAAGTTCTCATGGTTTGATTCCTGGTTTCAGGCTAGATCCGCAGTAGAGGACCTGCTAGAGGCAGCCAATCTATGATTCTCTCACATCATTGATGTTTCTATCTCTTTCCCTCTCACTTCCTCTCTGAAATCAATAAAAAATATATATATTTTTTAAAACTGGTTTGAGCTGAGAGCATCGGCCTACGGACTGGAAAGTCCCGGGTTCGATTCCGGTCAAGGGCATGTACCTTGGCTGCAGGCACATCCCCAGTGGGGGGTGTGCAAGAGGCAGCTGGTCGATGTTTCTCTCTCATCGACGTTTCTAGCTCTCTATCCCTCTCCCTTCCTCTCTGTAAAAAATCAATAAAATATATATATATTTTTTAAAGTGGTTTGAAGAGAGTGCCAATTATCTGAACTCTCTGCTAAGAGAAACAAAAAATGGATTGATGAGGGAAACGAAAGCCCAGGTGGAGATGGATTATCATACATCTATAGAGATGCCTGTACACACAGTTGTGTGATAGTAGCCGGCTTCTAAGATATAAATTTAAATTTGGCAGACAAGACCTGAGGAATGATGGTGCTGATATGAAAATAAGACTGTATAATTATGAAGCCTAGGGTAGGCAGAGAAGGAAATAAAACCAGGTGGGGGAGGATAGAAAGTAAAAATGTAAAGTGGTAACAAGGAGGTAGTAAAAATTATTTTAAATGAAGTGTAGGAAATATGAAGTGAAGGAACAGTCAAATCTCCCACAGATTTGAAGCCCAAGGACAACCAAGCTGTTTTAGTAATAGAGATTTGTGGTGTCTGTGAGACAAGGAAATCTGGCAAACTCACCAAACAGTCACGCTGCAAGGTCTTACATAGAGCATTGTACATATCAGCATCCAAAAAGAGACCATCAGGGATGTCTTGTAAGAAGTCCAGGTCTTTAAGGGTGGGGAGAGGCTTCTCTCGCTCTTTCTGGGATGCCCGCCGTTTGTAGGTTGAGCCCTTGAGGTCGTATTTGATATGCATCCTAACGGACCGTGGTAAGAGGTTATTCATTACCACAATTCGAATATTCTTACCACCTGCCTGCACACAGTACAGTCCATAGAATTTAGGCAGCAAAGTCCGAGGGTTCTGGTTGAGGTTCTAAGGGCACAAAAACAAAATTAGGAGAACTTAGCTGATTTTCAGTGATATTCAAGGGCAAAAGCTGCCATCCACCTTCATTCATCTAATACTTGGGATTCAAGTACAATCTGTCTGCCCAAAACCACATGCCACATAACATATTTGTTTGCAACTTCACAATGCATCTAATGATGGGATCATCACCAAGCTGAGCCACAGACTCTCCAATATAGTAATCAGTCAGGATACTGAATGTATGATGAGTATATTCCTTTAGAGAGGTTTAAGAGTAGACAGCGTTGAAAAAGTCTTAACTCTTAGCCCTTGGTATAGTATATTCTGGTGTGTGATGGGAGGCAATTTCTTGAGAACCCCCAAGAGCAGTCAGTCAGAGTAAGATCAGATAGAGTACCGCCAAGGGAAATAAGCAATCCCATTCCCCAATGTAGGAGCTGAGCTAAGAAAACAAAATCATCATTGCATCCATTTAAAAAAAAAAAGAAAAAATTAGCATTATTTTATTTATTTTGAGAAGAGGGGAGAGGGAGAAGGGAGAGAGATTTGTTGTTCCAATTTGTCCCAGTTATTTATGCATTCACTGGTTGATTCTTACATGCGCCCTGATTGGGGATAGAACCCTCAACCTTGACATATCAGTATAACACTCTAAGCAACTGAGCTACCTAGCCAGGGCCATCATTAAATCTTGCCTTTGGATAAGACAGTCTAAGCCAAGTAACACTTAAAATAGGACAGCTTGGCTGGCATGGCTCAGCCATGGAGCATCAACCTATGAACCAGAAGGTCACAGTTTAATTCTGGGTCAAGGCACATGCCTGGGTTGGGAGCTCGATCCCCAGTGTGGGGCGTGCAGAAGGCAGCCTATTAATGATTATCTCATCTTTGATGTTTCTATATCTCTCCCTTCTCTGAAATCAATAATAATAATAATAATAATAATAATATATTTTTAAATAATAATGTATTTTTAAAAGCACTGACATTGTTTGTTTGTTTGTTTAATATATTTTATTGATTTTTGGCAGAGAGGAAGAGAGAGGGACAGAGTGTTAGAAACATCGATGAGAGCCGGGACCGGTTTGGCTCAGTGGATAGAGCATTGGCTTGGGGACTGAAGGGACCCAGGTTCGATTCCGGTCAGGGGCATGTACCTTGGTTGCGGGCATATCCCCAGTAGGGGGTGTGCAAGAGGCAACTGATCAATGACTCTCTCCTATTGATGTTTCGAACTCTCTCTCTCTCTCTCTCCCTTCCACTCTGTACAAAAATCAATAAAATATATATATATATTTTTTTTAATTAAAAAAAAAAAAAAAAGAAACATCGATGAGAGAGAATCATCGATCAGCTGCCTCTTGCACACCCCCTACTGGGGATGTGCCCACAACCAAGGAACATGCCCTTGACCGGAATCGAACCTGGGACCTTTCAGTCCGCAGGCCGACACTCTATCCACTGAGCCAGACCGGTTTCGGCCAGTGACATTGTTTTGCCCCATAGAAGACAACCTCCCCAGCCTTGTCCAGGAGTAAAGAGGGCAGCACAGGTAGCCAGTGCTCCTCTTCCCCTCACCATGTAGTATCCTGGAAGCAGCTTCTGCAGAAACTCCGCCTCTTTATGCTGGACTGTTTTAATGATGAATTCGTCATCACTGGACACGTAGAAGAGGGAACCACTAGCCCCAGAGTTGCACAGTTCAATCAGCGGCTCACTGCAGAGGGAATACTGAGGCCCCAAAGAGAAGAGAACAAGAAGTTCAGAAAAATCAGGACCTGCTCAACCAGAAATCAACTGCAGATGCAATTATGCTCCAAAAGAAAACTAGAGTAGAGCAATGGAGAGGGCCTTCCTTTAGGAGTATTGCTCTGATATAGGAGTCACAGGGTCATGAGATCTGGAAGCTCACCAAGTAATCATCAGGCCGGATACCAAATAATTCTCGAAAGTAGCGGAAAGCAACAGGTGCATAGGTCTTGAACCGAAAGTCATTGTAGTGATGAGCAGGGGTCAGGTTGCTCCCTTCACTGTGGGGTTAAATAGAAGCAGCCATAAATTACCAGTCCCTGTTTTCCAGGGAGTTCACCCTGGGAGTCACCCACCCAGAGGCAGAGTCAATACATCCCTTCTGATAGAACCAGAGGGATTAGATGAGTCAGTTACTTAGTGGGACCAAAGCACAACGTGGGGTGCTAACCAGCTTGGCTTAGTGGGTAAAACATCAGCCTGCAGACTGAAGGGTCCCAGGTTTAATTCCAGTAAAGGGCACAATATTGGGGTTGCAGGCTTGGTCTCCAATGTGGGGCAAACAGGAGACAGCTGATCCGTGATCCTCTTTCATCACTGATGTTTCTATTTTTCTCTCCCTCTCCCTTCCTCTCTGAAATCCATAATTTTTTTTTTTAATATATTTTATTGATTTTGTACAGAGAGGAAGGGAGAGAGATACAGAGTCAGAAACATCAATGAGAGAGTCATTGATCAGCTGCCTCCTGCACACCCCCTACTGGTGATGTGCCCGCAACCAAGGTACATGCCCTTGACCGGAATCGAACCCGGGTCCCTTCACTCCACAGGCCGACGCTCTATCCACTGAGCCAAACCGGTCCCGGCGGAAATCCATAAAGTTTTGAGAAAGCACATGGGGATGAAAACATGAGCATATGCACGGAATTGTTTTGTTTTTTTAAGGGCTCACTCTTTAGGCCAGAGGCTCATGGAAACATCCAAAGGACAGCACCTACTCTCTACATTCTAGTGTCCCATATCACCCTGATTAAAATCAGGTTAAGAACTTGGCACATGCCTAAATTGCACCCAAACCCCTAAAACCGGCCTAAGGTTAATATGAAAAGGCACACTTTCCAGGCCATTATCCTGAACATTAACCTCTTTTACCTGGGGAAGAAGATACTCTCCACCACGTAAAAGTCTTGCATGAGGACATCGCGCTCTGGTTTGGTACTCAGGCTCCCCACAGTGTGAGTAATGCCTAACTGAATGGCACCCTTCAAGGCTGATGAGGTTGTCTGAAAATAGAAAGAAAATAAGGGCAAAATTTCAAGGATTAAATCTGATCACAGCAATAAAAACTTAAAGGGAGAGCCCAAAGGAGCACTTAAAGCAAACGCTCTTCTAAGTAGTTCATCCTGACCAGTTTCCCCATCCCTATGCTTTACATTGCAGTTTAGCTTGGCAAAGAATGGAAGGGCTTAAAGATACAGAGTAGCAAAGGTGGGACTGTCCTGCCAGTCTAAGCTGGGCAAGATGTTCCCTCCTATCCATATTTACATTTGAAAGATACATTGTACTGAGAGAACAATCTTAGGTCTCACTCCAAAAATTCCGTCCCCCAGAGTATCAGGAAACATTTTATTCATCTGATATAGGAAGCAAGTAAAATTAACTAATATTCTGATTATCTACCCAGCTATAGAAGCTTCAATCCACTAAGGCAGGGCTTGATTGGTGCTCTAAGGACAATAGAGTAGCAAAAAATAAAGTAAAAAATTCCTAACTGAAAAAACTCAGTATTAAATCTAAAAACTTCTCTCAGAAATGATCACACTATGGTTAAAACACAAATGCAAGAGCCCCACTTTTACAAACTAGGGTTCCAATCCCATGGAAATCTATCCCATCCCCTACATATGTGCTGTCCAGTACAGTAGCCTCTAGCCACACCTGGCCATTTTATTTTTAAGTTAATTAACAATTTGCTTCTTTAGTCTTGCTAGCCACAAGTGGCTAGAATGACTAGTGGCATCGTTTCTCAGCCTTTTGGCTAAGATCAAGCATAGTATGACTAGTGGCTATCATAATGGATAACAAACAGTACTTTTCAATCACTGTAGAAAGTACCATGACCGGTTTGGCTCAGTGGATAGAGCGTCGGCCTGTGGATTGAAAGGTCCCGGGTTCGATTCCGGTCAAGGGCATGTACCTTGGTTGTGGGCACATCCTCAGCAGGGGGAGTGCAAGAGGCAGCTGATCGATGATTCTCTCTCATCGATGTTTCTAACTCTCTATCCCTCTCTCTTCCTCTCTGTGAAAAATCAATAAAATATATTTAAAAAAAAAAAAAAAAGAAAGAAAGTACCATTAGACAGTTTTGTTCTACATGATTTTCCTCATCCCTAACTCTCACCAGATATTACTTGTATTTCTACTTAGTCCTCACTGGGCATTAAAACTATAACTAGCGTTTTTAAGTGTCTGCCTCTCTAATTAGACTAGAAACTCACCCTTTGTCTCAATGTTCAGCATATAAAAAAAGCTCAATAAATGTCAGTTAGCATGGCCCTCAGTACCCATTCCTAGGGATTCAGGTAACTAACGGAAAATGAGTCAATCCACCTCTATTACTTGGAACAATGCAATAAAGACAGAAAAAAGATACAAGAAAATTCTATATGAGCCAGAAACAGAACTCCAAGAAATCTGCATGCCCTAGATCAGATAACGTACAGCTGCTAAATGGGAGGTGGAATACTGTCCCGTGGGGAGGCTAGGCATCTCTAAATTAGTCCAGAACCGAAGACCTGAGATCCCAAGATGCTTTTCTCCAAGATTTCCCTTCATCAGCTCAATTTTCTATTCTTAGTTAGTACTATCTTTCCAATGCATTAGAAAGCTCAAAAAGCAGGTATTCTAGGCCCTCTGCACCAGCTGAAACATTCTTTAAAAAAAACACATGTCCTGACCAGTGTGGCTCAATAGCTTGGAGCTTGGTCCCATACACAGAAAGACTGTGGGTTCCATACCTACAGAAGGCAATTGATCGATGTTTCTCTCTCACTTTGATGTTTATCTCTCCCTCTCTCCTTCCCTCCTTTCATCCCTCTCTCTTCTTCTCCTCGCTCTAAAATCAATAAAAATGTCCTTGGGTTAGGATTAAAAAAATTAAAAAATTAAAGTGAAGAAAATCTTTAAAAAAACCCAGAAAAACAAAAACACTTAAGAAGAAACAAAGGAGAACATCTACCTGCTATCAATCTATATCACCAGGCTGGGTGAGATATGGCCTTGATTTTATGTAAATCCAGCACCATAGGAAAGATCGAAAGACTTAAAGAGACATGATTCCACCCAGCTGGTGTGACTCAGTGGTTGAGCATCGACCTATGAACCAGGAGATCATTGTCAGGGCACATGCCCCAGTTGTGGACTCAATCTTCAGTGTAGGGTGTATAGAAGGCAGCCGATCAATGGTTCTCTCTCATTAGTGATGCTTCTATGTCTCTCTCCTGCTCCCTTCCTCTCTGAAATCAGTAAAAATATATATTTTTAAAGATAAACATGGTTTCCTGAACCAAGGGAAGAATGACATTCGGGGCTTGAAATTTTATACCTAACAAGGAAACCCAGTTTCTTCAGCTCAGTGAAATAGCAACCACCACCAGATATGTCCCTGAACAACATTCTCATTTAGTCATACCTATACAGGCGAAAGATATCTCACTTCACCCTTTGTGAAGTAAACTCTGAAGTCCACGTTGTATAATAGCTATTGTGCAAAGACTTAGAACATCAAGAAACGGGACAGAATAAGGAGAAAAGCAAGGGCATAGGACTCTCCCTTCCTGGAGGAAGAAGAAAGGCTACGCCCAGACACACCTTTTTATACGTCGTCTCTCCTGAGGAATCAACACCTCTGTGGCCTATTTTCTTGATGGACGTGCCAGGGGCATAAGACACCTAGAAAAAGAAGGTCAAGATTAATATATAATTCCCACATAATACACCAAACAGCTACCATGATGACAAACCAAAGCATTCAACAAACCCTTTATAGGTTATGAACATTTATAAAATCTTCAGAAGACCCACCCTATGCAAACACAGCTATAGTGTTGCTTCCCAGGGAATTAACTGGCTGAAAGAACAGAGAAGAAAACCCAAGGGGCCCATAGTTCACCTTTGGTCCTCATGAAAATGAGTATAACTAAAGAAAAGTGGAAACAGGAGAAGTTCAAAAAAGCAAGACAGATTACAAGTAGGGTTCTACAGTTCCCTTTTCCCCCCACCAGCTTCCTTTCAGAAATTACTACCCCTCTAACCTTCAACCCAATCTGAATACTAACTGCTCAAATTGAATTTACTATGAGAAATCATCTTGCCACTGGCAAATGCAAGTACTGCAAAGAGAGGAATGAAAAGGCTGAGGCAATAAAGATGCTCCTCTGAGACAGCATATGGGCCTCAGTGCCTTGAAGAGGTTCCTGAGAACATAATAAGCCTTTGTTTTCCACCCATCTATCAGCCCCTGAAATAAGGAAGAGGTAAAACCAGTAGAGCAGAGCCTAGAAGGCTATTTCCCACAGCCAAAATGACAGCACAACCGACAGGAAGGTATTCTTCATGATGTCAATACTAATTAAATTAATAAGCCAGAAGGCAAAAAGGCTAGTGAAAATAGGATGTCACGATCTTCGACTTGATATTCAAGTTCTACTTCCTGCTAATGTAAGGCTCTTAGTGCTAGAAAACCATCTATATATAACCTCACAGTTTTTAGAAGATATTCTAAGAGAAAAGCCTAAAATCCCAGGACAAAAGGGCCCACATTCTGAAGCCTCATCATACAGCCCAGGAGAGAGGCAAGAAGAGGGCTAAGAAGCAAGTTAAGCAAATGGAAAATATTCTGCACAGAAACAAAATGTAGAAAATTTAGCTTCTGTATGGTTACACAAAGATATTCAAATTCACTGAAGCTGTGCGACCAGAGGCAGTAACAGAAAAAAAAAAAGAGAGAGAGAGAGAGAGAGAGAGAGAGAGAGTAGGCTTTAGTGTTGGACTGTTTGGGTTTGAATCCTACACTTATCAATCCCACTTATTAACTATGTGACTTTGGACAAGTTACAGAACCTCTAATCCTCATTTTCTTCATAGGTAAGACATGAATTACAGTACTTCTCTCATAGAAGTTGTTTTCAAGATTACAGGTCACTTAGGTACATTATTTACTTTTTGGTACATTAAAATGTATTAAATTGCCCAGATGATGTGGCTCAGAGGTACAGCGTCAATCCATGTACCAGGAGGTTACCGGACAGAGCACATGCCCGGGCATACACGAGGAAGCTGATCAATACTTCTCTTTCATCATTGATATTTTTCTCTCTCCCTCTCCCTTCCTCTCTGAAATCAAGTGTGTGTGTGTGTGTGTGTGTGTGTGTGTGTGTATGAATCAACCAATGAAGGCACAAATGAGTAGAACAAAGTGATGTTTTTATCCCCCTTCTCTCTTTACAATTTATAAAAAATTAAAATAAACTTCAACAAAAATAAGAATTGTATAATTCCTAGCTCACAAAACATATATAAGAAACCTGTCTAGCTCCTAAGACTTAAATGGGGGAAATAAAGATGTCAAAACTGGGTATCCTTCTGGTTTTAGAACCAATGTATTAATAAGAAATTTACCTCAGATGGCATGGCTCTCTTGTTCCCAGAAGCTGTTAAAAAATAAAATAAACAAAACACAATTATAAGTGTGTACACACACACTCAAAACATCTTTATCTTGACACTGAAACAATCAGGGTTTGAGTCAAATTAAACCTAACAAAGAGCTCCTGCCTCTTGCTCTGTGATACCTTTTGGACAGAGATTTTAAAAGTCCCTTCCTCTTTCTCCCTAATATCCACAGAGTCCTTGCGTACATTCCATTCTTGTTCTAGTCCCTTTTCTTACTCAAGTGTTCATATTTTCTCTGGGAAATAGACACGTTCTTGATACATTACCCATCAGAGTCAAAGGGTCTCATTTGATACCATGGCTGAAAGAGAAGGGACGTAAGAGACCCAAGACTAATTGGAAAGTCTGGGGCTTAATAATTTTTCCTATAGAACTAAAAGGGTGAGAACTTTTAGAGCATATCTATGGTGATTTACTCCTCTCTAATTATTTCAGCACTTCAGAAAGAATTGATCTGTGAAGAAAGAGGCTAAGGATGAGAAAATGCAAAATCGAAATACAGTAATGAAAAAGCATTCAGTGCAAGCAGAAAAAGATTCTGCATCCTTGCAGCCTCGTCTTCATTTCTGCTGTAAACTCAACAGGGAGTTGTTAGCATTTACTTACTAAAGTAAGTTTTACTTACTAAATATTTAATCAGTGCAGGTATGTGTGTAGTTAAATCTCATTATTATTTATGACTTTTATCCATTTAATTTTAGAAAAGATTTAAAGAATAAGTATGTTCATAAAGTGAAAAAAGACTATCTATAGAAAAATGTACTCTAAGTCAATTCTTCAGGGTTTGCCATCCCCATAACCTTCATCCATGATCACATCAGAAATACATCATCACTCAGGAAGGCAGACCTTCCTTCCCTTTTCATATTGGAGAATGTTGCCCTTTATCTTCATAGATTACTGATTATCACATCAATCTAGCTCTAAAGAATTCAAAAAGAATAAAGATTAGCCACATTAAAGATAATTAAAAAGAGTTCAAACGAGATGAATCTTCAATAACATAAAACCTGAGTAGAAAGACCCTAGTTTTAGTCCATATATAAAGATTAATGGTGAGGCAGCAACAGGGACACATGCAATCAGCTAAAGCCCTAATTATAATTGTTTAAGACAAATGGTCAAGCGCCCTGAGAACTTCAGAATATAGCTGGGCTCAGAGAGGTTAGAACAGCTCTTAGTAGCACAGACCAAGTAATTCTGGTACCAATAGGCAGACCAGCAAAATTTCCTTTCCCACAGTGAGCCGGAATGGCAAAAAATGAGGAACAAGATAGTTTTCATTTATCTTCCAAAAAAGGGGGCAAGGGAAATGACACTTAGCTGTGAGGGAGACATACTGCATAAAATAACCCCCAAAAAATGGGAGGGGAAAAAAACATCAGTGCCCAATAACCTACATCTTTTGTAGAATGCTTCATCTTCAATAATGCTGACTTGAGCTGGATGAAAGATTAGGCAAATTAGGACTGGAACCCCTAAGCTAAAGCCAGAAAGACTTAGATTTATAATTAAAACTCTACTGACTTACTACAAAATTTAAGGTGTCTACCAACAAAAACAATAGTCAAACCTTTTATATTTTACAACCTTTTAGCCAAGTGCAAGTCAACATGCTGAACTATTTAAAAATTCAAAGACCTGGGTTCAAACCCTTGTTATATCAGGCAAATTGCTCTATTTAACTAAAAGAAAAGAAACCTAAAATAGGTTATATAAAGATTAGATAAGCTAAATTCAAAGTACTTTATGGACTGTGAAGTGCTAAGCAAATACATTGCCAGATGTGATTTCTAATGCAAGAGCAAAGTTGAGTCCATAGTAAGATTTAATGTTCAATTACCTAGACCATCATAAAATTTTCATTAGCATTTCAAAGTACACCCCTCCTCCCTCTCCCCCTGCCCAAACATACCCTCCTGAAAGTACACACACATAACTACGGAATCAGTAATTCTCAATGAGTAAACCAGTATACTTTCAGTTGTGAAGACAAACACTGATTTTGGACTCCTTGATCAGTACCTGGCCGAGCCTTCCACTTTTCCCCCCAAGGAAGGGGTTTGGAAGAACCAAGAAAAGCCAATATGGCTGAAACTGGTTTGGCTCAGTGGAAGTACTAACAGAAATTGTTTTTGTATTATACAGAATTCCCAATTCATGCCCATAGTTTATTTCTTTTATGACTATGGGACTCCTCCTTATTAACAGGCCCTGGACCAAAAAGCACTGTAAACAACTAGCTAATTTTGCTCTACTGGAAGCAAAAAATAAAGCTATGACAAACAAGCTTCATCAGAAAGAATAATGGTTCAAGCCAAAACCGGTTTGGCTCAGTGGATAGAGCGTCGGCCTGCGGGTTCGATTCCGGTCAAGGGCATGTACCTCGGTTGCGGGCACATCCCCAGTCGGGGGTGTGCAGGAGGCAGCTGATGGATGTCTCTCTCTCATCGATGTTTCTAATTCTCTATCCCTCTCCATTCCTCTCTGTAAAAAATCAATAAAATATATTTAAAAAAAAAAAAAAAAAGAAGAATGGTTCAAGTAACTTATTTTTGAGTGGGTTAATAGACGATATAGAACCAGAGTAATTTCAAGCCCTAGTTCCTCCACAAAAAGAAAAAAACGAAAAAGACCTAAAGAACCAACAGTGTACTCACTTTGGGATTTTAAAAAAAAAATTTTTTTTTAACTCTAGCCTGGGTATGTTCAGTCTGGCTAAAATCTATAGCTGTTAATAAAAGTTGATTTTTAAATAGAACAAGTTGAGAATGTAGTTTTTTGAGCCACCAAGTGAAACTACTGTCCATTTTCAAGCTAACAAGTCAATAACCATTTATATTAAGAAAAAAATCATTCAGAAAGGGCCTTTATGATTTTTAGTCTAATTTTTTAAAAATAAATAAAAGCAGAGCATAAGGATGTGCTCAAAACCAGAGAGCAAAGATGATGACCAGATCAAAACTGGAATCCACATACCTAAACCCCAATTCTTTTTTCTAAGCCATCTTTTTGTTTTCATTTCCTGGTGAACTTGAGTACAGGAGGAACAAGAAAGCACCTAGAGAACTAGAATGCTCTAACAAATTAAATACATCTCAGAATTACTAATGGACAAGATGAACACAATTTTCTTCCTTTGAGGTACCCCTTTTCCTTACGACAAGAAAAACTTATTTTTCACATTCCCTGATAGGGGATTAAGAGCAGAGTCCTCCTCCTTCAGTTCTTCTCAAGTAGGTTAACAATAACAACACTGTTCTTCTGGAACAGTCATGTCATTAGCACAAAAAGATCTCGCTTCTCTTAGTGAGATTATCCTTGTTCTGAGCCACACAATGCCAGTGTTCTAAGAGGAGCAAATCTGTCTTTCAAGTCTGATACTTGAAAGAGCAGCCTCACACATATTAAGGTCCTCACTAGTAGTAGAAAGTACTTGTCTTTGCAGTGAGACCTCAACAACTTTAACAGAGAGGGGTGGGGGATGCTCCTTTCATTTCAGATTAGTTTTCCTCTTGCTGTATGAGGGAGCTTGGCATGCTCTGATTAAAAGCGTAAGGCTTATGATTACTGAATTTGCAATGGACAAAAAGAGGGCATCTGATAGGCAAACTCTATTGTTTAGTTTCAGGGATCTTGGAATTTGCTGTAGAATCAGTTACCAATCCTTGGCATAAATTCACATTAAAGCTTAAAAAATATTTCCTGAAAGAATGATTAATAACTCTACATATTATGCAACAGGAGGTCAGAATTTTGTTGCCTTTTTTAAGGAGAGTGAAAGTCAGGAGAAGTTCCCTTCTGTACTAGTCTCTCCTTCACTAAGGACTACTGGTTCAGTCAGTACTCATTCAACAACAAATATTTAATTTGGTTTAAAGTCAAGTTAGTTTGCACAGACTTTCCAATTAGCGAAGGAGCAATTATAGCATAGAGGGGAGGATTGTGGACTCTGAAATCAGAACACCTAGGTTTGCTAGGTATGAATACGAGATCCACTCTTTACTAACTAGGTAACCTTGGACAAGTTTATTAAAACTCTCTGGGCCTTGGTAACCTTATCTATAAAGTGGGAAAATAATAACATGTACCTCATAGGATTGTTATGAGAATTAAAATAAGTCATGTATAGCATATAACATATACTCTATAAATAAAAGCAATTATTATCATTGTGAATTATGAAACCCCATCTACATGATAGGAAGAGTCAGGGGAAAGAAAAAGAATTGAGACTCATTTACTGCCCAGCTGGTGTGGCTCAGTGGTTGAGCATCGACCCATAAACCAGGAGGTCACAGTTTGATTCCCGGTAGGGGCTGGGTTTCAGGCTTGATCCCATGTGGGGCATGCAGAAGGCAGGCAATCCATGATTCTCTCTCATCAGTGGTTTATCTATCTATCTCTATCTCTTCCCCTCCCTCTCTAAAGTCAATAAATATGTTTTTTTTTAAAAAAAAAAAGAGAGAGACTCATTTACTAAAACAAAAGGAAATTAAGTCATGGGAAGATTTTGAGGGAGACAAAAAGTTAGGGAGTTGACTGGCTCACATTATACTGTGAAACTGGGAGAAATATATTTCTCTGTTAAGAGCAGCTTTTTTTGGAGAGGGCAAGTAAATTAATTATGTTTATAAGAAATACACAGCCTTCTCAGAAGACCATGCACCACCACCACAAAAAATCTGCAATTGTTATGAGGAAGAGCGGTTGACTGGCTGCTAGTTACTGCGGAGCTCATGCTTCTTCAGCACAGATACACATCAGATCTACCTCTCTTACTGCTGACCCCACAGCACAGAAAGTGGCAACCTAAATGAGGAAAAACAGAAAGTTATCACTTATTTCTAGGATTGTACTTACTTACAGCAGAATAAGAATATCTTTTTGAAAACTCTAAAGTTTAAAATTATGAACGGGATCTGGCCTGATCCCCAACACCATACTATGAAATGTGAGATGATTTTTTTGTAGTTCT